CTGCAGAACTGAACTGTTTTGTCACGTAGTTTTGAGACCTTATGATGAAATGCAATTAGGTGGCTGAATGGATATTCAGGAACTCAATAACCTTGTTACACAGTGTGATACAACGTAAAACAACAAGAACAAGGATGTGCTGTACACTTTCTAGAATAAAGATGGCTAGTAAAAACTATTCTCCATTATGTTACAGGGGATGTGCTCAGAGTAGCATGCTATTTCATGTTCTCTGGTCATGCCCAGCCAGGAGGAATGTGTATAAGCACACTAAACAAGGTTTAGACTTTAATATTCTGTCACACACCCTTACACATAGTGCTGGGTGTGCCATGCAAGTATTTAGCTAATAACAGACATAATTGGAAAAGTTCTGTTTGAACACTGCGTCTGTGATGCAAAGTGCAGAAATTAAGGATTGGCCCAAAGACCACTAAGATCAGTTGAAAAATGCCCATTAAGTTTAATAGGCTTTAGAGGGCAGATCAAATGCACACTTTCATAGAATCATAGAATCATAGGACTGGAAGGGACCTCGAGAGGTCATTGAGTCCAGCCTCCCGCCCTCAAGGCAGGACCAAGCTCCGTCTACACCATCCCTGACAGATGTCTATCTAACCTGTTCTTTAATATCTCCAGAGAGGGAGATTCCACCACCTCCCTTGGCAATTTATTTCAATATTTGACCACCCTGACAGTTAGGAATTTTTTCCTAGGCCGTGTCCAGACTCAGGGGTTTTTTCGGGAAAAGTAGGCTTTTCCCGAAAAAACTTCCCCTGCGTCCAGACTCAAGCCGCGTTCTTTCGAAATTATTTCGAAAGAACGCGGCTTTTCTTTCGATGGCGGTAAACCTCGTTTCACGAGGAAGAACGCCTTCCTTCGAAAGCTCCTCTTTCGAAGGAAGGCGTTCTTCAATGTAAAGAGGTTGTCTTCGAAAGAGAGCATCCAGACTCGCTGGGTGCTCTCTTTCGAAAAAGCGGATTTTTCTTTCGAAAGATCCGCCTGCAGTCTAGACGCGATCTTTCGAAAGATGCTCTTTCAAAAGATGCTTTCGAAAGAGCATCTTTCGAAAGAAGCCTGCAGTCTAGACATAGCCCTAATGTCCAATCTAAACCTCCCCTGCTGCACTTTAAGCCCATTACTCCTTGTCCTGTCCTCAGAAACCAAGAGGAACAAATTTTCTCCTTCCTCCGTGTGACACCCTTTTAGATATTTGAAAACCGCTATCATGTCCCCCCTTAATCTTCTTTTTTCCAAACTAAACAAGCCCAGTTCATGAAGCCTGGCTTCATAGGTCATGTTCTCTAGACCTTTAATCATTCTTGTCGCTCTTCTCTGTACCCTTTCCAATTTCTCCACATCTTTCTTGAAATGTGGCGCCCAGAACTGGACACAGTACTCCAGCTGAGGCCTAACTAGTGCAGAGTAGAGCGGCAGAATGACTTCACGAGTTTTGCTTACAACACACCTGTTGATGCAACCTAGAATCATATTTGCTTTTTTTGCAACAGCATCACACTGCTGACTCATATTCAACTTGTGGTCCACTATGACCCCTAGATCCCTTTCCGCCATGCTCCTTCCTAGACAGTCGCTTCCCATCTTGTATGTATGGAACTGATTGTTCCTTCCTAAGTGGAGCACTTTGCATTTCTCTTTATTAAACTTCATCCTGTTTACCTCTGACCATTTCTCTAACTTGCTAAGGTCATTTTGAATTATGTCCCTATCCTCCAAAGAAGTTGCAACCCCACCCAGTTTGGTATCATCTTTGTCTTAGGGCTAGTGTACACTACCATGCTACATTGGCCTTTGGCCACCCCAAAAGGAGCAGGGCCTCAGACGGAAGGGGTGAGGCCAGGACACTTCCATGCTTCCCCACCAACAGACCCTAATTAGTCTGGGGGTGGGGGAGCACATGAAGTCTTTAGTCTGTGCTCCCTCCACCCCCAGAGTGAACTGACAGCTATTCTTAACACCTGGTGGTTCCCTATCGGTTCCCGTGCCCCTGGCAGTGGGAGGAGACTTTTTGCAATCCTCCCCCTGTCCCCAGGTCAATCAGGGCCTGGGGGAGGCGGAGCATGCGAAGTCTTTCACTCCCTGCCCCTGCCCTGCAAGGGAGCACTGTGCTTAGAATTAATCACCAGCTGAGCAGCAGCTGGTGGTTGACTTCAAGTGCCAAGCCCCTTGCAGGGCAGGAGGAGACATTCTTCTCCATGACTGAATTATAACGTAGCTATTGCACCTGTAAAGAATAATGCATCCATTTATTTGTTCATCCTGGGTGAAAAGCCAGTCCTCTGAGAGATGCAGGTAACATCTACTTAAAGTGGTGTCTACACCATGGCAAAAGGGCCTCCACGGGTCAGATCCAGCCCACCAATCAGGTTGATGTGGCCCATGGTGGCCCTGCCGCTCCCTCGCCCCCAGGCCAATCAGGGCCTAGGGACAGAGGAGCATTGGAGGGCAGGGAGCAAGAGACTTTGCGTGGTCCACCCCACCTCCAGGTCAATCAGGGCCTGGGGGCGGAGGGAAGTGTGTGAAGTTTCCTCCCACTCTTCCAGGAGTGTGTGGCACTTCTAAGAGCCGTGCACTCCTTGCAGGGTGGGGGCAGTGCATTCCCCCCCACAGGCCCTGACTGGGAGATAGTAATTTAGTCAATGAAACAACGTACTAGGGAAAAAATAAGTGTTAATTACAGGATTATTAGAAAATTTAAAGCCTAATTGCCACTGTGATAGATTCTATCACAAAAATATCTTTGAGATTGTCACTTGATGTGATGCTCAACCCACTGAGCCTGCCTACCTACTCTCAAGGACACCTTACTATTTTGTGCTGCTGTGCCAGATGCTCTGATCTCCCCCCAGCAATGGTACAGAGTTGGGGTAATAGCCCCCCAACAGAGCAACACAGATGCTGCTAACAGCTCACTGTGGGAGGGCACAGCTGCAGGGACTGAGGAACACAGCCCCAAATAGGACCAAACCCACAAGTGAATCTGTCTTACTCTGTATACAAGTTTTACACTGAGAAAGTTGATCGAGTTGGTTCTCTTTATCAATGAAAGAGAGATATGCACTTCTCTTGGTCCCTCCAAGTAACAATTAATAACACTAGATTTTATCATAAACAAGTGTTTTTATAAAGTTTAAAATTAGGATTTAAGGGTTTGCAAGTGAAAACCGACAATGAAAGTAAGTTACTATGCAAAAAATAAAACAAAACATGCTATCTAAACCTAATACAAGAAGGCTATGTCTACACTGCAGGCTTTTTGTGCAAGAACTGTTTTGCGCAAGAGTTCTTGTGCAAAAGGTCTTGTGCAAGAGCACGTCCACAGTGCGATGTGCTTTTGTGCAAGAGCGTCCAAGGCAGTCTGGATGCTCTCTTGTGCAAGAGAGCTCTGATGGCCATTTTAGCCTTAGAGCTTTCTTGTGCGAGAAACCCTTGTTGCCTGTCTACACTGCTTTCCTGTGGAAGAACTCTTATGCAAGAGGGATTATTCCTTGTGGGGAGAGGAATAGCTCTTGCACAAGAAGCCCTGTTTTCTGACGCTTTACTATAAATTTACTTGCACAAGTACACGCGTGCAGTGTAGACGCTCTGCAAGTTTTTGCGCATGAACAGCTGTTCTTGCGCAAAAAGCATGCAGTGTAGACGTAGCCTAAGAGAAATTGTGACAAAACACAACTCCTCATCCAAGTCTTTATTTCAGGTAAAATTCTTCAAGTCAGAGTTGATCTCTTCCCTGACCCAGGAAGGAGCAGTTTGTAATGCTAGCTGAAGTCAATAGTTGCTTGCTCCCCCTCCAGTAAATGCACTTTCCCAGGGGTAGAAATCCTTTGTTCAATTCTCCCTCCCCCATGGAAAATATCAAATTCAAGATGGATTCCAGCACCAGTTGCCACAGTCATGTAAAGGGGCACTGACAGCCTCAACAGGCCCCTGGGTAAGGTGGGAGGTGCCCAGATACGTGCTCCTAGAAGAGGTGGGGCCTTGGGAAGAAGGGGCAGTGCCAGGGACAGCCAGCCTTCCATGCCACCCAGAGCACTGTGCACACATCCCCAGCTCTCAGAGCTGCCCAGGGCTCTGGAGGCTGTCAATGCTGCAGTACTAGCAGTGGAAGTCTGGAGCCCAAGGTCCCTTTGAATCTCCAGGTCCTGGGGCAATTGCCTCCATTGCTCTCCCCTTCAACAGGCCTGGCCACATGTCTCCGTAGGACCAACCACAGTTTGGGCTTATAGGAAAAATAAAATCATTTACAGAACATTGTCTTGAGCACCGGGACTTTAAGTTCCTTAAGTACCACTAATGGCTTTCACTAAAAGACCTAGAATTAATAAAACAGATTTCCACTTAATATTTCTAACTTCACATACAAAAATGATACAAGCACACAAATAGACTAAACACATTCAGGAAATTACAGGTTCTTGAATGTGTAGGGGATAATTGCAGAAGAACTTTGTACGTGCAAGTTTAGGGGTGGTGAGGCCTGTATTCTTTCCCCCCTTTCCCTTTTCCCTATATCTGATGAGCCAGAAGCCAGTCTTTGGGAACATAAGCCATTTAAGATAAGCATTGTTGCCAATATAGCAAGAACAAATATAAGATAAGGGTAAAGGACAAGAATGCATAAACAATTCTGTTTACCCTAATGTATTGATCATGTAAACAAGGCCAAAGAACAAGTAGAACTAGATCAGAACCAAATCGATAACTAACAGCTGAGGCCTACATCAGCACGTAATGAGTAACCCCTGAAAATTTATAAACTGCAAAACAAGGCAAAAGAACTGTATGTAAGGCTGCACCAGAGCACAGCAATTTGGACCTCAGCAATGGGCTTTGGGTACTGGCATGTCGGAAGCGGAGACAGCCTTCCACTTCATCTGCAGCCTACCGGGGGTTCCAGGCTAGCAGGAAGGGACGTAAGATATACCACTTCCCCTTCCACTTCGTCTGCAGCCTACCGGGGGTTCCAGGCTGCTTTGGGTACTGGCATGTCGGAAGCGGAGACACCCTTCCACTTCGTCTGCAGCCTACCGGGGGTTCCAGGCTAGCAGGAAGGGACGTAAGATATACCACTTTTTCGTTATATTGTTCTTCCAGTTATGGGGCACAGTTGTTAGCTGTCAGGAAGTAAACTACTTGGCTACGTCTGCACTGGCATGATTTTCCGGAAATGCTTTTAACGGAAAAGTTTTCCGTTAAAAGCATTTTTGGAAAAGCGTGTCTAGATTGGCAGGACGCTTTTCCAGAAAAGCACTTTTTGCGGAAAAGCATCCGTGGCCAATCTAGACGCGCTTTTCCGCAAAAAAGCCCCGATCGCCATTTTTGCAATCGGGGCTTTTTTGCGGAAAACAGAACTATGCTGTCTACACTGGCCTACTAACAGAACTATGCTGTCTACACTATGCTGTCTACACTGGCTGTCTACATCTTTCAGAAAAATACTTTTGCCCGAACGGGAGCAGCATAGTTTTTCCGGAAAAGCACTGATGATTTTACATTAGATCGTCAGTGCTTTTCCGGAAATTCAAGCAGCCAGTGTAGATAGCTGGCAAGTTTTTCATCCGATTTTCCGGAAAAACTTGCCAGTGTAGACACAGCCCTTGTGTTTGACAGATACCTGCGTAGTGTCCTTTGTAATTTGAGAACCCAGTGTCGGACCTGGGACTTACTCTTGCCGACAACAGAATGATAGTTTACTTGCTCTGTTTTGCATAAAGCATATTCAAGTTATGCATATTCATATTAAAAAATATTTCCATAACCAATATAGGGCCATAGCATCACAGCCACCTGGTATCCAGTAACAGAAATATGTACTACATGGAACTGTGTTATGTGGAGCCTGTAATTTCATGAATGAATATATTTTTATTTTACCTAACCGTTTGTTTGGACTGTTTAACTAAAGTCTATTTTATACCATTCATAAAACGAACAGCTACAGATATGCTGATTGTCTAGATATTAGATAATAGATTATAGTGCCTGGTATAAAGTGCAGTATAGTGATTAGACTACACAAGGGACTTGAGACGGGTTCACCAATGACGTGTGACATGGAACGCCTATCTCAATCTCAGATCAATCCTCTAGTGGGTTACTTTGAAAACCTTAGAAGAAAAGCATAATACATGCAAAGTATTAAGGCTAAAGTATTACAGCCTCTCAGGAAAATTGGTTACAACTGAGATTTTCAATGGTTAATAGGTGCTTTCATTGGAAAAAAGCAAAACTGAAATAACCTATTAAGAACGTCTCCGTGCAACCAATATTTCCCTCTTCATCTCTGAGATTCTTGTAAGGCAGTTTGATTGGATGGCATGTGAACCTTTCCACTGCACCATAGGTATGTGCAGATATCTATTTCTCTTGCTCGGCCTAGTGCCAATGGCTCAAAATTGTTAAGTAAGTAGAGGGAAGACAAAACCTGCCTGTATTTTATGAGAATGGGTGTGAGATTGTTTGTTAAAAAGATCTCTCCTTCTTCCTTTTGTCCTTCTTGTCATTCATCACTTGCTTTCATAGAGCCCCAGCCAAAAGCCCATGTGATCTTTTATACTCTTTCCTCATTTACACTCACTTCAAAAATGTTGTGTAATACTCTATTTCAACAGTTCCCCCACACTTTCTGTCTTTCTTTTTATACTGGGTAGAAGAGAGAACACATTTTCTTTCCCTTGCTACATCAAAAAGAACTAGGACAATGGAGCTTCTTTTATAAAGTGAAAATATGCAGAGAATCCAGAAGGTGTGCTAGTGCTGCTTGAACTAGGAATGTTTCTTATAAAAGAAAATGAGAGAGCTTACACATGAGCAAGCCAGAGATCCTAACTATGATAACGTTAAGAGTTATTCCACTGTGCAGGTAGAATGTAAGGTTACAAAGTTTCCAAATGCTATGGATGAATATATTACCGTTCCAGTTAACGTACTGTAGCATTCATTAAATGATTTCAAAGGTATATTCTTTGTGCAGAACAGATTTACTGGTTTCTCAGGGTATGTCTACACAGCAGGGCTAAAGTCAAATTAATTTATGCAACTTCAGCTACATCAATTGCATAGCTGAAGTTCAAATACTTTAATTCGGCTTTCAGCACTGTCTACACAGCAGGAAGTCGAAGGAAGAACACTCTTCCTTTGACTTCCCTTACTCCTCATGAAATCAGGGTTACCATGAGTCAAAGTAAAAAGTCCTCCAGCTCAACATTATTTGAAAATTAAGGCTTGCTGTGTAGAAGTGCTCTTTGTTATTTCGGAATAATGTTGGTTATTCCGGAATAACACTGCTGTGTAGACATATCCTCAGTTATGTCAGAAATTAAAACAGATTAATCTGGGTAAATTTTCTGTGAAGCATATGTGTGAAAAATGCAATGCTGAAAATATTTGCCTTTTTCATGTTGTAATCTCTGTGAGAAATGTCAATTAACTATATTTTCTTTTTAAAAATGAACACATGAGAATCCGAGTTTACCAAGTACTCAAATAACAGAAATGTGTCAATAATGCATCTCAGTCCTGCTCCAGATCACTTCTGTTTGTCCAGACTCTCACGCAAAGGTTGCCAGTCACAGTCAGTCATGCCATGTTAAAGTGTGTAGGCAAATGTGTGGTCAAATGCTTGCTGGGGACATGGAAAACCACATGCTTGGGATTGTTTGTGCCTGAGTGAATGCAAATTTACAATTTTATTTATTAAAGGACATTGTCAGGAATTGAGATAGATGGTGCAGAACAGGACTTGACAGCAGTTAGTGCTGACATATATAGTCTGCACCAATAAAGGTGAATGGTGTGCTATGATCCATAGACCGAACGTTAGCTTCACAGGTCTCTTACTGCATATATGGCTTTCCCCAGGCTCTTCCTCCCATCCTGCCATGCCACAAAGCTCAACCTGGACTGACTAACCAGTCACATGAACTGAATTATACAAGCTTGAGAAGAATGAGAGTCCCATTGGCTTTCCTTCTAGCCCTCTGAAATATTTGGACCTCATTACTTCTAATTTCCTTTGAGCCACCGAACATGGGGATATCTGATATGACCCTGAATCTATCTGCTCACCTGAAATGATTCCAAGAGCACATTTATTCAGGAAAAAACCCACTCGTCTTAATTAGCTTCACTATTTTATGAATTCTTTTCACACATAAAGCCCAACCCCCGTACATATTTGCAGACAGAAAAACAATCTGGCAATTTTGGGAAATTACTGAAACCATATCCAGTGTGATTTAAATTGCAAGTTAAAAACAACTGAGAAATAAGTATTACTGTGATGTTCTGCCTTAGAAATTTTCATCTGTGGCTTTTTAAACATTCCTCCTACACATCACTAGTAAAAATTTTAGTCTGCCTGCCACTCTCAGGCATTAACTCCAATGTTGTCACTACTAATTGGTATAAAGGCCTATCTTGTTTTCTGTGTGTCAGTCATTTGAATTGCAGCATTCCAAAGATTGTCATAATTGCTATTATTAAAGGCAAGTTTGGGAGAATCTCACCTGATATGCTTCATTACATATTGCTTCCAATGTAGAATTACAACAGTGCTGCAATTGATGTTGTTTTTACTGCTGCAGAAAATATCAGTCTGACAAAGTCAGAGAATGTAAGGAAAATGATGGAGCAGCTGAGAATTGAACAAAGGACCTATAGTTGGACTTGCCAGGGCAGATCAAGCAATGATCCATTTTCTCTAGAATCCAATGAGATTATGGCCAGGTACTTCCAAGAAATTCCATAAAATACACAGAATAACCTCTAGCCTTTTTTACTGTTCAGTATTTATATTACAATCACATCTAGATTATGCAGGAAGGGAATGTGATTGTCAAGTAATTGAAAGCAAGGTCCTAGATATTGTGGATATAATTAGATTATAGGAAATATGCTTGAAAGTGCATTAGATATACTTAGTGAGATAGCCTCTTTGTAGCATGGTAGGAAATGATTTCCCCTGTTTCCTCAGCCTATAATTAACACATTTAAAAAGCAGTGATCCCTAGATTTGTTCAAGATCCTACAGTGAAGGTTGATCATTGACTTGATAATGCATTGAATGTACCAGGAAAATTCCACTGCAATTAAAAGAATAAAAGGCAAATTTTATCTTCCAAAGGACCATGTTTGCTCCATAAAATCCTACTGCCTTTCTGTCCCTTCCAAGCAGAACAGTGTGCCTGTACAGGCAGTCCCCAAGTTACGCAGATCCGACTTACGTCGGATCCGCAGTTACGAACAGGGCCCTCCCTCTTCCTGGTCTCCAGCAGACCAGGGAGAGGAAGCAAAGCGGCGGAACACGCGGGCAGCGGACAGCCCAGACGTGTCTGGGCTGTCCCGCTGCCCCTGTGCTCTGCGGCTTTGCTCCGGACGCCTGTGGGTCCGCAGCCGGGG